ACATGCATTAATGGGACATGAATGAGTGCAGAAAGAGAGAGAGAGGAAGAGAGGAGCTCAGTGCACCATGGGAAATCCCCCGATAGTCTAGGCCTATAGCAGCATAACTAAGAGATGGTTTCAGCACATATTTTCCTTTCATTCAAAATGAACGGGGATACCAAACAGCTATTGTCAATATAAGATATTTTTTAATTGAAGCTACTGTATGTGCAATTTTATGTGATTTTAGTATTTTAGTTTTGTATCTTTATGTTTTGGCTTATATAAAAGTAAGAAAACCCTGGTGAAAATGAGCTCATTCATCTCAGTGTTTTGTGCCTCAGTGTCTATCACAGTTGATACTGGGAGTCACTAAAGCCAGAAAACTGAAATTCTGTGGCATAATGGAACATTGGAGAATGAGAATTAGTTTGTTATTATGTCATTAAGTGAAACATTTTGCTACAAAACAAACTATCAAACTGTATTTTTGTCTGTGTGTGTGTGTCCGTCCAGGGTCGTGGGCAGATCGCTCTCCTCTCCATGAAGCAGCTTCCCAGGGTCGACTGCTCGCCCTGCGCACTTTGCTGGCCCAGGTAACGGCCTTATAACCAGGGTTGGGGAGTAAAGGATTACATGTTACTGACTTACGCAATCGGGATAAAAAAAAAGGTAACTGTAATGTAAAAAAAGCACCTCCAACTCCAATGTGAGAGCCATCTGCTTTGTACACTTGAATCTAAGTTAGTGTTTCAATGTTTGCAGAATGTATAAATGCAATTTGAAGAGAACAAAATACAATAATAACAAAATATCCTTCATGTTTATAAAAAAAAACACAAGTAGCATTAGTGACACACTGTATAGAGCAGAGACAGGGACACATATTAGGAGTGTTGAGCTGATAATGAGTCTGATTTGGGGCGTGATGACTGATGGGACCAAGTCAGGCCAGGTCTGTTGCAGTTGGGGTCAGTTGGTGTTGACAGTCATTTAGTGTGTGATATGTCATGGCTGATGTTTGCAACTGATGTCTCCGACCTGAGACGAGTTTAGCACAGTGTTCTTCCTGAGATACACAAATGCTCAGAATTCATTCAAGACTGACTCAAACAAGGCTTTTTAAACATCTGGAGGCACAATGCTGTGTGCTTTCATTTTCAGGGATATCACGCCAACATTGTCACCATCGATCATGTGACCCCTCTCCATGAAGCCTGCCTGTCAGGACATGTAGCCTGTGTCAGAGCATTAATAAATGCTGGAGCTAATGTAAGTATTCCTCCGCTTATCCCCACCATTATTACATATTCACTGTGTGTCCACACTGAAACACACTTTTGTACACCGCTATATGTGTGTGTGTGTGTTCCTAGATGTGGTGACTATATTGTATTGCTTACATCCGTGTGTGTCTAGGTGAATGCTGCTACCATAGACGGCGTCACTCCTCTGTACAACTGCTGTGCCTCCGGGAGCGTCGGTTGTATGGAACTACTGCTGCAGAATGGAGCGCACACACACACGCCACACACACACTTCCCCTCAGCTCTGCACGAAGCCTGCAAGAGAGGTAAATACTGTTAAACAGTAGCAGCTCAGCATCCAGGGGTCATGTGTTATAGTTGGATGAGTCTGTGTGTGTTTGTCCAGGCGTCCATCCATCATGCATAATATCTCAGACACCACCAAAGATTTTGCTGGAATTTGGCTGAAGGACTCAACTCGTGCTAAAGGATGTTACAACATGTGTAGCTCTGGTTGTTTTACAACAAACTGTACAGTAGAGACTTCACATCCTGATAACAGAGAGCACACATGTACTGCTCACTAAGTTAAAGGTGTTGTATACGACTTTCAAACTAGATATCACACTAGAGCTCAGCATCTCTGTCCAAAACTAATAAGCAAGAACTACAGCACATCAGACTCCATTGACAAAAATACAAAATGTTCCTCCCAGATCATAAAACGAGAGAAAAGAGAGAGGGAGTGTGACTTGATTCTCTGCTCAGGACACCATGATTCCACTATATCTTTGCATTGCTAAATTGTACCCAATTATACTGTGTGTATGTGTGTGTATGTAATAGGTAATAGCCAGTGTGTGGAGTCCCTGCTGTCTCATGGAGCAGACCCAGACTATGACGTGTCCCACCTGGGCTCTCCTCTCTACATGAGCTGTCTGCACCGACACACAGCCTGCTCAAAGCTTCTGCTGCACAAAGGTGTGTGTTTGTCTTATGTGCTGCAAATTGCTGCCATTTCAACTAGTAGCACACCTGTGGTACCTCCTGTTACAAGAGCTGTTATTGTTTTAGTTTGAATGGTCCAGTTCAACCAATGAACTGTCCTCTGTGATTGTTTCATCTGGTGGATTCTTTAGAGCATTTAACAACAAAAATATTTCTTTTTCCTTTCTTATTTGTGTAATCCATTTTATGACCTCTATGGATTATCTTGGGACCCGTTTGTTGGTCCTGGCTCTGAGGTTGGGAATTACTGCTTACCTCTGTGAAGAAGTAATGTTTAATTGCTTTCTTCTGACATCTGTGCAGTGGTGTAAAGGGTGCAATTTGACCCCGTCCCACTGCAGTTTTTATCTACACTATAACTGCATTTACATTTAATCTAATTAATTACATTTTCCTCATCTGTCCTCTACTCCTTTTCTTTTCCAGGAGCCAATGCAAATATAGGCAGAGGAGGTGACAGTCCTCTGCATGCAGCTGTCAGACAGGACAGTGCTGATCAGGTGTCAGTGTTACTGGACTACGGAGCTGATGTCAACATCAGAGACAGTAACAATCAGCGACCTGTGGAGCTAGCGCCTTCTGGTGGAAAAACACAACAGCTGCTGATGACATTTGAAGGTACTGCAATATCCTCTGCTACCGATTCTCAGTACTGATGTATGGCACCACTTGAGAATCAAGCTGAACTGTATCACAACAGTAAGAAGAAATCACTCTGTCTCTCTCCAGTTTCTCCGAGGAGTCTCTGCCAGCTGTGTCGTCTCCAGATCAGGAATCTGATCGGTCGGACCAGACTGAAGCTGCTCCCCATCCTCCCTCTCCCTTCCTTGCTCACTCACTATCTGGAGCACACGTAGGATACAGCATGGCAGTGAAAAGCAACCACAATTCAGATGCTGTTTCTTTTAACATTTTTAATTTGGATGTGCCAAGCCCCTTATTGACCACATTTCATGTTAACATATCACCATGCTTTGTCTGCTACAACATCATTACATCAAAAACACACACTCAAGATTTACTCTGCTGCACACTGTACTGTACTCCAGTACATTGCCTTTGTTTTGATATAACTGGCACAACCTCTGTTTATTTTTTCCCTGTCAGACGATTGTGACAGCTGATCCAGTTTTAACAAATTTTGTTGGTTGAACACAATGTGTCCTTATGTGAATATTGGAATTTATTTTCCATTGGCAAATGCTGGCCTTCAAGTATCTGTGTGTATGTATGTATGTATGTATGTATGTATGTAAATACAAATAAATGATCCATGGCACGACCTGAATAACAGTCTAAACAGTGGGTTCACAGTATACAGGGCCAGTAGGCTGTTCAGTTGCAGGCACCTCAGTCTCTGATTACCCTGTTTGTGTATATTGTCAACATTGTCAAAAGGTCGTTTATCAATGGGTGTCATTGTGTGGATAATCCTTCATGTGGCTGCATACTCAAACAAACATTTAGTTCGTAGTCTAGGAAGAGTCCAAGTCGTAGGGACTGGCAAGTAGACTAAATCTAAAAAAATGTCCTGAAGCCATTGTCTAAGGAATGGTGACATGTTAAATGACGCCGTAGGTGTGATCCCAACCCTCCCCACGCAGTCTTTAGACTGTGTTGAAACTGAAACTGTTTTGATTCAGTTGTGAATATAACCTGCTCAATCATTCCCTGCTGGCTGTTACCTGGGAGTCACTGAAGTTTCTCTGCGTACCTATTACTATGTGAGCGTTACAACAATGAGCCACATCCCTTATAATAATTAACCTGAAGGTCACAAAAACCAGACAGACCTCTTGTTCCTCTTCCCACACCCAATAAAACAGTACAACCTGCTTTAAAATCCTTGAGGGAACCCCTTTGCACACCAGTCCATGTCAGGAACTGCGGCACATGATTGGGATATGTGACTATTAAGAAATATATAGAAAAGATTACAGAATAATTAAAATCTCAGGCAACATTCTTGCTTGCCAGTCTAAGCTATGTAATTGGGCTACCGACGCGTGGCTCCCAGCTAGGCAGAGCTAACGTTACATTGCGGGGGACTGTTGCGCTGGAGCGGTGTCAGCAGCAGCAGGTCAGGGAGACAAACTGTCAGGAAGGAGACCGGAGACAGGGATAAGAACCCGGATAGGAGCAGTTTCCACCAACCTGGAGGAACAAAATATAACTTTAGCAGAAAGACACAGTCTCACCGCTGCCTGTCGTCGAGTTGGTACCAGCCTTGTAATTCAAACTCGCAACATCAGCAGCTAACTAGTCGTTAGCTACTCGGTTAGCTACCCTGTTAGCAGCCGGTCAGCCCTTCCTAATAACAGTAGCAGCTAACCTAACCTAGCATAGCTAGCTGTTGGCAGCCCGGGCTCCCCGCGAAGAGCCTCCAAGATGAGGCTGAAAGTAGGGTTTATTCTGCGGAGCTTGCTTGTCATTGGGACGTTTCTTGGCTTGGTGGTGCTCTGGTCTTCTCTGTCCCCGAAACCCAACGATGAAAACCCATTTGGAAAACGGGTGAGTGTCTAACAGCGAAGTGCACGACAGTTATCAGTGCTAGCATAACTCTAACCCAACACGTCAAAATGTGTGATACTTTTAGCTATGCAACATGAGTGCCAAGTCTGTGGATGGGGACTGATGGCGGCAGAAGGGTCGTAGTGGCAGGTGTGTGTGTGTGTGTTCGATAGAAAAAGCACCAGTCCTAATATAACAAGAATAATGACACGCTTTCATTCAGCTGTTTGGCTAGCTTTACTAACGTTACATTGGTTGTCATGGAGATTGGTTCCTAGCTAGCTAACGTTGCTAACCCTAGCTCCCTTGATATTGAGGTATGTTAATGAATAGACACGTTTGGACGTACTGCTGTATCTTCCTTCCTTTAGTAGCTCTATTCACATTTTACTGCCAACACTGAACACTGTTAACATTCCATTCCTCAATCACACTCATCCAGGATGCATATCCGCATATGTCACCGCCGTGGCGTCAGGCGTCGCTAAGGCGGAACTGTGGAGTAACGTTAGATCAACAGTTGATAGTTCAGTCAGGATCTCTGTGTATGTATTCGACCAGAAAAGTTGACACTGCGTTTGACTTGACCATGCTGATGACTTTATGAAGGCAATTGTTTGAATGATTCATTCCTGTATTAACTTATCAAAGTCCAAAGTCAAAGTCAGCTTTATTGTCAAGTCTTCACATGCACCAGACATACAAGGAATCGAGAGGACGTTTCTCACTCACCCACGGTGAAACAGATCAAGTGCACAGGCACAACAGATAAGAACAGACATTTAAACATTCAATACACAACAGACAATAAAATGTAAAAAGTATACAATGAATATAACATATACAATTTTCTTATCCAAAAAGCGCAGAGAAAATGGCAGCAGAAAAATAAAATAAACTAAAATTACAGCAGTAACAAGCGCAAAAGAACAGTCAGTAAAAAAAACAGTAAATAAATAATAGCAGCCAATTTTAATCTAGTGTGTATGTGGTGGATAGTAAGTACAAAATAACATAGTAGTGTTTTCTCTGGGTGGGGGGGTCAGCCTTCCTGATCAGCTGTGGTAGATGTGGCCTGCGTAGGAGAGTAGGGAGATGATATTGTTAGCAGTCTGGACAGACGCTTTCTAATGTGCCCGATGAATGCACTATGTATGGGGTGGGGAGTTGCTGCTCTCTTTTCGCCAGTGATGCAGTGTGGTCGTCCAGGAGACGTCCTCACTGATTGCACCACCAGGAGTGTGGTGGTGTAGGTTGCGTGTGCAAGTCGTGAGTCAGCAGGGTGAAAAGAGCAGGGCACTGAGCACACCAAGCCATGGGCCCCTGTGCTGAGTGTGTAGTGCTCGAGTGTTGTGGCCGGAACTCGTACTGGCTTGTGGCTCTCTCACTGAGAAGTCCAGCAAGCCAGTTGCAAAGAGAGGTGTTGAGGCCCCAAGCTTGTCCAGGTTTACAGAGTGGAGCTGTGGGTGTGGGATATGTGTTGAATGCCGGAAACTAAAGCTATGAAAAGCATTCTCACATAGAGTCATAATAAAGAATCAATAAGACCATCCAAATTGTGTGCTCTTGTTTTCTCTTGTTTTTCTTACAGAAAATATGTCACAACTAGGTGGGAATATTTGAATATTAAGGGCACACTCTAGGTAAATCGCTCCCAATATAGAATGAGCATTTTAAATAGTCTATAACCCACTAAAAATTCTGCCTACATAAAAACAATATTTTCTAACATATGCCGTTGATCTGATATAATACATCCCAACAGCAGGGAAAAAAGATAAAGTAGATATGATATCTTCTGCCGCAAATCCGATCACTATTATTGGAACATTTAAAGCTGCAGTAGGTAATGTTATATACATTTATATTAAATGCTTTTGTTATAGTGCTTTTCTAAAAACTTTCACAAACCTGACAGTAGTACATGAAGACAGACATGGCCATTGCAAGAATCCAACGCCTGAACGAATACCTCTAATCAGAGCAGAGAAAAACATAAGTTGATTGTTGAGTCCCATTGCCAGGGTCCCAAAGAATCTGTATTGATCCCTGGGAATGCGGCACTCAACAACAACTATCTTATCCACAACTAAAGTGTCTTTCTAGTTGTTTCTCGGCTCTGATAGCTTCGTCCAGGCCCGGTGGATTCTTACAAATGCCAATAAGAACACTAGAACGAGTAACAGGAACCAGCAAATATGAAGATTAAAAATATCTTTTATAAAAGTTCTCAAATGAATAATTTACAGTATGATAATTTACCTAATATAATTGAATTACTTTTTAAGTAAGTAGTTTTCTGTGTTGAATTTTTTTCATACCCAGCATTGATAGAACTAATTGGTCCTTTAGTAATTGATGTCCCATCTGGATATACACCTTGTGTTGTTACGGGGAGTTCTGGGAACTTGTGAACTCTATTCCTGTTATTTCATTGCATCAGTTTCTGTAGGTAGAATTGAAGACGCTCAATCACATCAGCACAAAAATGAAAAGAAAAGCCATTAAGAGTGCAATATTATAATGTCAACTTCAGTTAAGCATCTATCCCAGCTGTACTGCCTTCTTTTGAATAACTTGATGTGGAGGAGAATGTGTTATTTGTTACAAATTATAATTGGCCTTGGATAAGCACAGTATAGTTATGAGTGTAGTTAACAATAACTTCAAATCTTGCATTTTGCCTTTTCAACCTCATCTGTACCAAGATCTGCAACAGCAGGTCTGTCTCTCCACTAAATGCAGCTTTCTGTATCAGTTTCATAAAGGAATTTTCAGTGTGTATGAATCTCTGAGAGTACACTACAAAATGGCCATATGAAGTAAAAACACCAGTAAATTTACTACAGTGGGAAATGTCAGCAAGGTACAGCACATTATCATGACACCAACACTTCATTGGTGCGTACATGCTTGTCATCTCCACATACTTCTTTCATTTATAAGGTGACATCAAAGTGCAGGGGAGCAACAAAAACATTTGTACAACTTCAGGTAGACTTTGCTGATATAGCTATTACATTAGCTTTCCTGACTGACCTTTTTCATCAATTTAAATTCAATCAGTAGGTGCCTTTTTGTATTGTGTCTTTCTAATCAGTAATCTAGGGATCAAGTGTGACACCTGTGAAAGCACAATTTGCCATATTATTGCCACCTGTAGATCAGTGGAATAATGTAAAAGAATTTTGCACAGTGTCACCTGCATGTGCATCCAAAAACTGGTGTCTTAAAAGCTGCATAATCCAGTTTTGGCTCACTAAGTGTGAGTCATTTTATTAGTGCATTTTATTAATGTAGTCCAATAAGACAAGTCACAAATGAAGGAAGAGTTAACTTTGCCAGCTTTCT